GAACAAGAATAACTTCTGTTCAAGACTTACATTTCAATCCAAAAATTACTGTTTTCAGGGCATCCTACAGAACACCCTTGGATAATGTTGTCCCAGAAGTAGTTAATGCCGCCGGCATCATCCTCAAAATTTCAAATGGACACACCCTCCAGTCAAGCTTCAAGCTACATGGGTGATTCTGAAATCTTGCTTCAGGAACTTGGCTAGGTTTCTGCTTGTACTTCATCATTTCAGTGACAGTAAGTGTGATACAGTTTTGCCCATATAGTTTGCGCCATCCTTTGGTGCATGAAATGCTTCAGGGAGAAAGGTAAACTTTGTACTGTTTTCCCAGACTTGATTTGATGGCATTCTGACCACAGCACCAGTATGATGTATAAGACAGATTGTGTGAATGAGTATATGAATGACATGAAAGATAGTTAAATTTTTTATTGTAACATATGCAAGTAAACGAGGATGAGATGATACACACCACATTTTGATGGATTTCTTCATCCATCAATAAAGCATCAATCTCCACCATTTTTGTTCTTGTCTTCATTGGGATCAGATGCTGCACAGCTTCATGTAACACAACTGCAACTAATTGTATGCATCAATCAAAGTCACAGATAAGATTAAGAGGATAGCAACATAAGTGTACTGAAGGAAAAGTAAGAAATATTCAGCAATACCTAATTAAGTCATGCCATTTCCTAGAGTAGATACAGGACCTTGGATGCTGACTTGGTGATTATTGTTCAATTCCTGTTTCAACAATCAGAACATCAAACTGCTGCGTCAACATTTCAAATTTTGCATCATATTGTTTGCAAATGGAAGGAGCACTGTGAACAAATGTAGTACATCAGACAATTTCCTAGAAGTAAAAGGAACCCCCTCCATGGAAACTGTTTTTACGCGCATGAGGAGAGAATTTTGCATGAACAGTGGATTGCAATGGAAATAAACCCAACATCTATAGCTGACATGATGAAGTGTTTCAAGCATACCATCATGACTTCCAACTTCATGATGAAAGAACATTATGTTAGAAGTGTTGCTGACATTCAAACATTGGATGGTGAGATTGTTCACAATGATAAAATGCTAGACATTTTTACATGTGGTGTCCTAGCTCCTCAGCAGATACTCCTCATTGGAAAATCATTGAAGGGCCAAGTTCTTACTCTGATGGAAAAGTATGGTAAGTATATGAGAATTGTACTTTGTGTTTGGAACATATCAAACTTACTGGTTTTTTAACCCTCAACAGGTTCACAAGAACTCTGCCAAGAACAGCCCATCAATGTTGAGGATGGTGGTTGCTCCAAAAATGTACAGTACAACAAGGTGACTGTTTATGGTGATGTTGATGAACCACCCCAGCATACACATAACATTCCTGAAATTGTACAGAAAAAAGCTCCTCCCATAAAATGCCACACGCGGAAAGAAGGTATGTAATATTTGTTCATTATTGTTCTCTGTTTATTATGATTGGAGTGTGATTCCACATGCAATGTTTTTCCTTTAATTGTTCATTCTTTGGTAACTTACTATTACTCTGTGAAGGAGCCAAACCAATTTTGGAAGCTGGCCTAACTCCTGAGGCAAAAGAGCCAAAAGATTAGAGGACAAATTGAGCAACATTCCTAGTACAAGTGAGGGAGTGCAGAAATCACCTGATCCTTACATTCCTTCTGACACCATACCAGAACCATTTGAAGAAGGTTAGAATTTCAATATCTTACTATCACATTCTAACTGATGAATGCTCAATATTTGGGAAGGAGCAAAGTAGGTATACATCTTTCTTCAGCAATGTGCATTGATGTACTGCAATGTGCATTGATATTCAGCAATGTGCATCAATGTTCAGTAATGTTTAGGCAACTTTGTAAAATTGTTTGTCCTCAGCAAACATTTGAACCTTGTCTGTTGAATGTTGTCTTTTAGACAAGGTTCAAATGTCTGCTGCGGACTATCTGCCAACTATTCAATAAATGCCTGCCTCTAATAAAGGCTCAGGCTCAGCACAGGCTGAAGTAAATAGGCGCTGGCTTCTATTATTAGCTGGGGGAGGGGGGGGCACACAGGGGGAAAACTTTGGGGAAGGGAGGATTTGTGTGGCAACATTTTTCTTAGACCTGGCAGTATTTCTATACAATCCTCAATCCTCCAAAATCCCTTCCACTTCACAAAAAATGCCCTTGTCTGCTGAATTTCAAAAGAAATAAACCACCCTGAAGTACTCCTACTTCAGTATTTTAATTTTTCCCAGAAAATTCCTTTCTCCCTTAATTCCTCAGGAAGCACTTTCCTGTTTTTCACCTGGCTAACGTATTCAGTTGCCTTTGAAAATGCCACCAAAATGGTCATTTGATGTTGCCTATAAATAAATGCTGTGAAATACACACAAAAAAACATCTGGTGAAGCAGCTGCTTGTCAGTATGGTGTTGACCCAAAAAGAATAGGAGAGTGGAAGAAGCAATGCAGAAGTCTGGTGTCTTTAAAAGTGCTGGAGAAAGGGGGAAACAGAAAACAATTGGAAGGAGGCGGAACCAAGAAAGTTAGTGAAGAACTGGAGGACTGCATATATTCCTGGATTCTGGAGCAGAGGCAAAAAAGTGTCCGTGTTTCAAGGAGGATTATCTGTGTCCAGGCCAGATTGTTTTTCAACAATGTGATAGATGCAGAATCAAGGAGAAAGGATACTTTTCTTGCAAGTTCTGGCTGGTTGCAAAAATTTATGCAGAGAAATTCCTTATCTCCAAGACGTAACACAAGTGTGGCTCAAAAAAATCCACATCAACTGACAGAAAAAGTTGTTTTGTTTGTGATGTGGACTTCAAATCTGAGGATTTCAAAAGAGATTGAAGAATGCAACATTATTGGAATGGATGAAACATCAATTTGGTTTGACATGCCTGGTCAGACAACCATTAATTCCATTGGAGAAAAAACAATCACTATCAAAAAAACTGGTCATGAGAAAGATCATTTCACCTTAGTGCTTGTTGCAAAAGGTGATGGAACAAAGATGAAGCCATTTGTAATTTTCGAAAGAGGTGTGAGGCAAGTTACAAAGTTACAACAAGATGTTCAACTTCATGGAGCCATCATAACCTGTTCTGAAAATGGATTGATGAATGAAGATCTTGTAGTGCAATGGCTGCAGAAAGTTTGTGGAAAACTTGCATTCAAAAAAAGACTTCCGGTTTGGGACTCCTATTGTGTGCATATCAGTGAAAATACTAAAAGGGAGCTGAAAAAGTACAACATGGAAACATCAGTCTTTCCAGGGGGTTGTACAAAATATGTGCAACCAGCTGATGTTTCATGGAACAAATCACTGAAGGACAAGGTTTGAGCATCCTATGAAAAGTGGATGTCTGTTGACAAGGAGAAAGAACTCACTCAAGGTGGAAATTTGAGGGCCCCTTCAAGGCATCTGATGGTTACCTGGATAATTGCTGCATGGAATGAAATCTCAACTGAGCAAATTCAAAATTCTTTGAAAATTTGTGGAATTACCACTTTAACTGATGGCTTTGAGGATTCCTTGATTCATTGTTTTAAAAATAACCAGCCTTGTTTTGAAGGAAAAGACAAATTATTGGCAGCAAGAACAGAAAATAATTTGAGAAATGCGGTGGAAGAGGAAGATGATACTGAATCCAATAAACGCAAGGGGGTACAGAGGCTTCTTTTGAATGAATGCCCAGGCGTTTATTGGAGCAAATACAGTATACCTACTTTGCTCCTTCCCAAATATTAAGCATTCATTAGTTAGAATGTGATAGTAAGATATTGAAATTTTAACCTTCTTCAAATGGTTCTGGTATGGTGTCAGAAGGAATGTCAGGATCAGGTGATTTCTGCACTCCCTCACTTGTACTAGGAATGTTGCTCAATTTGTCCTCTCAATCTTTTGGCTGTTTTGCCTCAGAAGTTGGGTCAGCTTCCAAAATTGGTTTGGCTCCTACACAGAGATAATAGTAAGTTATCAAAGAATGAACAATTAAAGGAAAAACATTGCATGTGGAATTACACTCCAATCCAGAAAAACAGAGAACAATAATGAACAAATATTACATACCTTCTTTCCGTGTGTGGCGTTTTATGGGAGGAGCTTTTTTCTGTACAATTTCAGGAATGTTATGTGTATGCTGGGGTGGTTCATCAACATCACCATAAACAGTCACCTTGTTGTACTGTACATTTTTGGAGCAACCACCATCCTCAACATTGATGGGCTGTTCTTGGCAGAGTTCTTGTGAATCTGTTGAGAGTTAAAAAACCAGTAAGTTTGATATGTTCCAAACACAAAGTACAATTCTCATATACTTACCATACTTTTCCATCAGAGTAAGAACTTGGCCCTTCAATGATTTTCCAATGAGGAGTATCTGCTGAGGAGCTAGGACACCACCTGTAAAAATGTCTAGCATTTTATCATTGTGAACAATCTCACCATCCAATGTTTGAATGTCAGCAACACTTCTAACATAATGTTCTTTCATCATGAAGTTGGAAGTCATGATGGTATGCTTGAAACACTTCATCATGTCAGCTATAGATGTTGGGTTTATTTCCATTGCAATCCACTGTTCATGCAAAATTCTCTCCTCATGCGTGTAAAAACAGTTTCCATGGAGGGGGTTCCTTTTACTTCTAGGAAATTGTCTGATGTACTACATTTGTTCACAGTGCTCCTTCCATTTGCAAACAAATACTACGTTTTAAACTTTACAACTGCGTCGTCAAACTACAAGACTAACAACTTTGTCCTTAACTTGTTATTAGTGGTTCAGTCGTAGGTTCCAGGACATAGATGAGATCCTTTACCGTACTGAATTAAAGGTATTGCTGAATATTTCTTACTTTTCCTTCAGTACACTTATGTTGCTATCCTCTTAATCTTATCTGTGACTTTGATTGACGCATACAATTAGTTGCAGTTGTGTTACATGAAGCTGTGCAGCATCTGATCCCAATGAAGACAAGAACAAAAATGGTGGAGATTGATGCTTTATTGATGGATGAAGAAATCCACCAAAATGTGGTGTGTATCATCTCATCCTCGTTTACTTGCATATGTTACAATAAAAAATTTAACTATCTTTCATGTCATTCATATACTCATTCACACAATCTATCTTATACATCATACCGGTGCTGTGGTCAGAATGCCATCAAATCAAGTCTGGGATTATGATGCAAAATTTGAAATGTTGACGCAGCAGTTTGATGTTCTGATTGTTGAAACAGGAATTGAACAATAATCACCAAGTCAGCATCCAAGGTCCTGTATCTACTCTAGGAAATGGCATGACTTAATTATTTGATGAATACGAAATCCATCAAAATGTGGTGTGTATCATCTCATCCTCGTTTACTTGCATATGTTACAATAAAAAATTTAACTATCTTTCATGTCATTCATATACTCATTCACACAATCTGTCTTATACATCATACTGGTGCTGTGGTCAGAATGCCATCAAATCAAGTCTGGGAAAACAGTACAAAGTTTACCTTTCTCCCTGAAGCATTTCATGCACCAAAGGATGGCGCAAACTATATGGGCAAAACTGTATCACACTTACTGTCACTGAAATGATGAAGTACAAGCAGAAACCTAGCCAAGTTCCTGAAGCAAGATTTCAGAATCACCCATGTAGCTTGAAGCTTGACTGGAGGGTGTGTCCATTTGAAATTTTGAGGATGATGCCGGCGGCATTAACTACTTCTGGGACAACATTATCCAAGGGTGTTCTGTAGGATGCCCTGAAAACAGTAATTTTTGGATTGAAATGTAAGTCTGGAGGGTGTGTCCATTTGAAATTTTGAGGATGATGCCGGCAGCATTAACTACTTCTGGGACAACATTATCCAAGGGTGTTCTGTAGGATGCCCTGAAAACAGTAATTTTTGGATTGAAATGTAAGCCTTGAACAGAAGTTATTCTTGTTCACTCACCATCATTCATTATACTTTCTGCCTGGTTCACAAGTTGGAATGCATTTAAACCAAATGACTCCAACCCTTGAACCACTGTTAAGCTGTTATTGTATGAGGTCCCAGCTGCTGGCAGTGGCAGTGTGTCACTGTCACTCATCTGTACATCATTTGATTGAGAGTGCATCACTCCCATTTGTACCATGACTAGTTCTGCATAACCATATTATAATTTATACAGGGTTTATTACAAAAAATTGGAATAATATTAGGAAAAGGATCATATGCCAACATGACAGAGAAATATTGACAGTTTCACCTGATGACAGTTTCCACCATTGTAATTTTTTTTTTGGATGGTCATTGCACTCCAAAGAATTGTATGGCTCTTCTTCACTAGTCAAGGCTATATCCACAGGTCTTTGCTGGATATTCCGTTTATGGCGTCAGGTAGTGTCATCAGAGGTCACACCTTGATGTAGTCCACTTTACACTGCCTCCTCCAGTCTTTCTCATTCACAGCCTGCTCATATATTCTGCGTTGGTTTGGATCTGAGAGAGTACTCAGCCAAGGCAACAGGATTATATTTTCATCCCTTGGTTGTTTTGGACATTGTTGAATTTCCTGGGACATACCCTATATATACCAACACGAGTTCTGCTTTCAAGAAATCAAAAATTGCAGTATTTTGAGCAATACTCAAAATGAACATAGCTGCTGGACCATTGCAAGTAGCCTGCAATGTGCAATCTGAATATTGCAAGGTTGTAAAAACCAACATTGCTGCACCATGGCATGTCCTCACTTCCACTTAAGGAATATGAAAATTTACATCATCCAAACGTTGCAAGTGGTCTGCAATGGTCTACAATGTAACTATGATCATTGCAAACTGTGAGCAATGCTGTAAATTGTATCCCCAAGTAATACCATGCACCTATTTTTTAGTGACTCTAAAACCATAAAATTTCAAAAAAAGATTGACTTTAGAAATGAATTGAACATGAATCTGATCAATTTTCAAATTTTTCAGTAAAAAAATGTTTTCTTGGTAAATTTGTCACACATTTCTCAATTAGAATCAAGTATAAATAACAATAAACTTCCGAAAACTTCTTGAAAATTGTGTACCTGCTTATGATGCGCACCCCCTTTTTTCTTCTGCAATTTGAGAAAAAAGGTGCATATGGTACTTGAGTATATATACAGTATTTCAATTCAATTTGCTTTGTACAAACAGTATGAATACTGGAGTTTTCAGAAGTTTCCTAACAATATGAAGATACCAGATAACCAAGAACTGCTTGCTCCTTTTTGTTCTAGATATTTGACAAATCTGTTCACCTCACTACATGTACCACTTCACATCAAGTACTTTGTGTATTGTGTTGAGTCACAAAGATCCTTAGCTTAATTTGCAAATTCCTGAAAATCCATTCAATCAATACACAGATAAACAAATTAGTAGACAATAACATACAAAACAAGACAATATGCAAATCAAACAGGATATAGTAAGGGTGAACACCCCTTCAAGGAGGAAACAAGAAAGGAACATCCAGATCAAGAACAACACCATGTGTACAAATCACCCCATCTAAAGCAACAGTTGCTTTCAACCTAACATAGATTTGGGAACACTGTACAGCAATGTACATCAATGTGAAGCAATGTATATCTATGTAAAAAGAACTTGCACAATTCTTATGGCGCGTTTTTTCTTGTACTGTACTAGCATGTGCAAGACCACCCCATTATTTGAATACATTCACAGAACCTGGAACATAAGAAAAACATAAGTACTAGTTAACGGCACATGCTCTGACATTGAGAAATGCAGAATTTTCAGAATCATAAATGCAAAGTAAGGAATGATGCCAAAACAGAAGGTACTATACTTCAAATTTGCAAAACTAAAGCTGAAAAAAACATTCCCAAATTGGAAAAAGGTCTTCCACACAATGAAGCAATGCTACACATGGCCACACATGCAACACACTGTCTGGCAGCAGCTAGTGGATTGCCCTGACTGTTTTACATATGTATAACATCTCCACACAAAAGACAAGCACCCAGCTGACCTCCATGGAGGAACTCAAACCAGCACTCACCTGCCTAGCAATTGACTTCTATGGACCACTCCCACAATACAGTGAGTGTTACTGTAATGCTTTGATAGGCATTGACTACTACTCCAAATACCTCTTTGTCCAATGACTGTTGTAATGCGTGGACAAATTGTGATGACATCACCTGGTGAGAATTCATGCCCTTGGAAGTTGTTGGCTTGTTCTTGGGATCCCCAGTTGTTCTGTTTTGTGCATTGTGGGATCTGATCCAGAGCATTGGTGATGTGGTCTGGAGTCTGGAAAACATCATCAGCTTTGAGGCAGATGGGCTCCTTGTAGAATGCCTCCATGGGGGGTACACCAGTAGTGTGATGCAGTGTGTGATTGTAGGCCTGGACAGCAGTTGGTAATTGAATGTCCCATTTGGTTGATTTTCCTTTTGTCAGCTTTGCCTGTATTTGCCTCAGAGTCTGGATGGCACACTCACATGCCCAATTCCCTTCAGGGTTCAGGTTTATACATTGCCAAACATGTTGGCACTGCATTCTTGAACAGTGCTCTCACAGGGGAGCATTTATTGCTCACAAAACATTGGGTGTACCATTCCAAACTGCACCCTACAAGGCATTTCAGAATGGCCTTCATCTCCAACAGTGTTCTCAATACAATGAATAAAACCTGCCATAATTGCAAATACAACTCCTATTGATAATAAATAATGAGAATGAGCAACTACATGGACTGACAATGTGTCCTGGAATGATTCCCTCAGAATGCCACAGCAGGGGGGGGGGCATTAGCTCAAAATCCTAACCATTGAGAGAATGGGTTGCAGAACTCATTGGCATGCTGTTTCCCTCAACGTTTCAACACCCAAGATTATTTGTACACATCACATTGCATCACAGTACATTATTTGCTGGGCATGCGCAAAAAAAATGCTTTTGACTTTCCAAGTGGCTCTCCTTGTGCAATTTATTCAAATTGAATTTTGTTTTAATGGCCTTCAATCTCTGTGAGAAATTGCTATCTCTCACAGTGTGGCTCAATTTTTTTTTGGAAAATGAAATTTTATTGGAATCATGATGTATAACTTTTGGTTATTTTGTTAGGATTTTGAAAATCATAGTTGTTATCTATTTTTGGGAATTTGTAACTGTTTCAGTTGTCTTCAGTCAGAAATGTAAATTTATTTTTCTGTCTCCTTGGATCCAATTTTTTAACGGAAATTCAACTTCTACAATAAACATTACGTAAAATGTTGCAATATTTTACGTGCATCTCATGATTTGGAATATTAAAGTTTTTCAATTTAGCTAATCTGCATGATTTTCAGGATGAGTATGAAAGTACATGAATATTACGAATTTCACGAAGTTTTACTTCATTTTGAGTCAAAATATTCAGCTCTTGTCTTCATTCACTGTACCATAAATTGAATATAGAACATAAATTTTGCTCAACATCAAAAAGTTCCCTTTCCTTACAGGGAATAACTTCATTTTCATCTGCAGTACGACCTCATTGCAACAAATACCAATACTGTACCTCCAAAGTTTCAGCGACACACAGTTTTTCTTTTAAAAATTAGGGAAGGCCAAAAGAATAAGTTTAATATATTATATAGGCAGGTCTGATGTGAAAATTTTTTTCCAGTCATTAATTTTGAAATGTTCGCATAACAGATATTTTCAACGCAACAAACTTTTTCCTAAGTCTCGAAAAGTTTGTTGTAACAAGATTTTACTGCAGCAGAAAAATAAATGGTGTAAAATTGAAACATCCAGACAAGAATACTGTATTTAAAATCTATTTCTCATCTGAAAAATCTTTTCCAGTCATTAATCTTGGAAGGTTTCCATAACAGATAATTTTAACACCACAAACTTTTTCTGAAGTCTCAAAAAGTTTGTTGTAACAAGATTTTGCTGTAGCAGAAAAGTAAATGTTGTAAAATTGAATCAGCAAGACAAGAATACTGTAATTCAAATTCATTTCTCATCTGAAAAAATGTTTCTAGTCATTAAATTTGTACAGTAATTTTCGCATAACAGATAATTTCAACCCAACAAACATTTTCTGAAGTCCCAAAAAATGTGTTATTGTAAAGAGATGTTACTGTAGCAGAAAAGTAAATGTAGTAAAATTGAAACAGCGAGACAAGAATACTGTAATTCAAATCCAATTCTCATGTGAAAAATCGTTTCCAGTCATCACTCTTGAAATGTTTGCATAACAGATAATTTCAATATGAAAAACTTTTTCTCAAGTCCCAACAATTTTGATGTATCGAGATTTTACTGTAGCTTCAAAAAATTTAGTAAAACTGGAAAAGCGAGACACTTAAATTCGAATCCAAATGAGTTGAGCTTGCATTTGCGTCTCTAAGCATCCGGATCTTATTTCCCATCGTCTCAATTTTCTCCGAATCTTTGCGGTTTGAAAACAAAAAAAACCGGTCTCTTCAGAATTATTCTAGGCCATCGTTTACATCAATATTCAGTGCATCAGTAATCCTCTCTTCTTTTTCCAATGCTTCGAAGAACCGGCTCCTAGGTTTTGAGCAGGAGGCAGTGAAATTTTATGTGGACCCGTTCCTACTGCCCGTGTGCTGGAATGCGGACGAAGGAAGTGGCGGGAAAAGAGAGGAAACTAAGAGAGTTACTGAGTGAGTGTGTGTAAGACCTGCAGCAGCAGAAAACACAGCACCAGGCTCTGGCTGGTTTCTTCCTTTTCCCTCAGTCGAGACCCGGTTCCCGTCGGGACATGAGCCAGGTTCTTATGAGGTGAAATATTGTGTGTAAAAGAGTGTGTTAGTGAGTTAGTGAAAGGTATGCTGTACTGTACTGCATAGCAAGCAGGGGGTTTTTATTTTTCAGAAATGAGATAAACAAAATTGGTTTGAAAGAATAAATGTGATGTGTGGCCTGAACTTCAGAAATACCATGGTTGGTTCATGACTTTTATGAGACTTGTTGAAATAGATCCAATTGAGTTTAAACAATTCCCAACAAAATGCCCTACTCCCATAAACCCATCATTTGGCAACACTTTAATGCTGTCCAACATACTCTCCCATCAATTTCAGGGCATTTTTTCATGTGGTAAATCCAACAATCAAAACAGTGCAAAAAATTGATTTTTCTAGTTAGTGAAGCTGCTCTTTGAAAGCAGAGATCAGGTTGTTCTTCACTGTAGGGAACAGCCAGAGAATAAGTCCCAGGGTTGCCTAATCAACTAACAGAACCTAATTTGTGGCATGGATTTGATCATTGGATGTATTGCATGAAGAAAATGCATTGAAATCAGAGGAAAGTATGTTGAACAGTATGGAAGTGTTGCCAAATGATAGGACTATGAAAGTAAGATATTTTTTAAATAGTTGAAACTGAGTTGGATCTATTTCAAAAATTCTCTCAACTTATGAAGCAACCCTTGTACTGTATTTTCACTTGTTAGGCTGCACACTTCTGTGAACTGTATTTCAGATTTATATATAGGGTCTAAACTTTGGCCCTGTCACAAAAGGAGCATGAATACTGCTAATGCAGTTGTACATCTTCAAGTTAAATTCCAAGGGACCAGTAAAAAAAAAAGTTTCATTGGGGGAACCAAGCAGTTTTGTGGAGGGAAATCAAGAAATAATCGCAGGAAGTTTTGATCAATGATTTTCTGGGCTTCACATTGATTTTTAATGAGTTGAGAAGATGCTGAAGTTGGAGGGAAGGGTTCATTTGTCCAAGGAATCTTTCACTTCCTTTCAAAGCTCATCAAGTTGTCTTTCTTGCTTTTCTCTTTCCTGAGAAATTAAAGTGAAAATACAAAAGGCGGATGTAATTTGTGCATCAAGAGTGTCAGTAAGTCAAGTCTTGTTTTCCCATAGACTTACATTATATGATCTTTACTTGGTGTTTTATGGGAGAAATATTCTTCAGAATTCCATGAAAAATTGTTTGCCACTGGAAAGTGATTCTGTGAATATCTTTTCAGCTCAATCAGAACAGTTGGAGCATTGTATATTTTAACTCTGTACAGTAAATTTGGATGTTGTCATCTGTAAAAATAACATTCAAGTCAGCACAAAGAGAGGAAGAAGTCCCTCTATGCTATAGGTAATTTTTTAATTAGCTTCATAGATGGGAAAATGATGGAAGAAATACCACAGACTTTTTCTTGCATGGATCTTAAGGTTGTAAATATCTGTTTCTTGCAATTAAGCCTAGTAAAAGTCAATTTTCCTTGACATGTATTGTCAATTTTATCACACAATGTCTACATGTTGTGTCAGTGTCTGTATATCTGGCCTTTTTATTGAAAAATAAATGTCCATATGTCAAATTGTCCACATGTCAAGTTGTCCGCATGTGGGGGTCTCACTGTATGCTGTGTTAGAAATATTCAATTATAATACTTGTGTGCTTTCTATTGTTTTCTATTCAAGGCATTAAGTACAGAAATTTGTGTAATTTTTCTTGGCCGTAAGAGAATATTTTGTGCAGTTTACCTCTGCCAATATTTAGAAAAATGATGAAGGATGTTATGATGTTTTGTATGTGTATTACAATGGATCAAGAGAGGAATGAAATCATGGTAATGCTTCCATCTCAAACAGTCCTTATCTCAAAATTCTCCCTGTCTCAAATTGTCCTTGTATCCAAAATTGTATGTCTTGAATTATCCCTGGCTTCAAAAGTTTCCTTCTCAAACTGGACCTGTCTGGAATTGTCCTAGATCCACCAAATTCATAATATCCTCTTTACTGTGCAGTTTATTGATGTTACAGTATTTGATGACATTTCAAAAAACCATCATTACAACACAAGTGGGCGAATGACTTGGAGAGATAGTTCAAAGATGTCGCTAATGTGTTGACCTGTCCTTTTTGAAAATACTGTGCGATTAGGTACCTTATGCATGCTAATCCAGGCCGCGTACTACAGTTAGATGTACCCGGAGTTGGTGTAGCTATTTCAAGAAAACAAGTGTACTCTCCCTGATGTGTGCTGTGTATGCCGCAAGTGTATTCGAAATTTGGAGATAATGATATGGCTTGTCAAAAAATATGTCGAGTCATTCTATTTGGTTTGTTAACTTTTCTCTATTCTCAAGTATTTAAGAAACCGTTAGATTATGTTGCTTAGCAGAAGAAGTCAGTGGGTGACTAGCAGGTGAAAATGCTAGATTTTTCACGCTTTCACTTTTATATAATCGCCTCCAACTGGAAAATACTGTGGGGCCCCAGGATGTGGACATGCCTTGGGGTCTTGGCTACAAACTTAATCCATTCCTGAGCAAAGTTTGTTATCCAAATCACATTTTTCCCTGAGAGAGTACAGAACAGAAATAATTTATATTGCTTCCAGAACTTCAAAGAAGCACATGAAAAGCAATGAAATACTCACCTTAAATATGTAAATGGGCTTAAAATTCAAGAATATTTATTGAAAAATTAGAAGAGAAGCTCGAAGAAGTGTTGATAAAGACATGAGCCGAAGAAGGATGCCAGAGAGAGAGCAGGTTGAGTCAACACTTTCTGCACACAAAAAGCAATCAGTGAATGTCTTTGGGCATCTCATTCAATCCTTTCTCACAATTTAATCACTTTGCATTTCTGTACACTCCATCCAGCAGTAAGCCCAATTCTCTTGAATTGGAAGCAAATTGAGAGAACTTTTAAGGAATATTTATGCAAAAAATACTATGGAAATGTTAAAATAAAAGTTGAAACCATTCAAGAATCCTTTCATTTTTTCATTCAAACCTGAATCTCTAGAAGAGCAAGAAATGTCTGCTGGGAAATATATGGTTTCCACTTCAGACCCAAGGAGGTGGGCATTTTTGGGGGGGGGAGGTGGCTGCCTTTGCAATCAAAGTTTGTAAACCAAGTCATGGTGTGTTATCCAAGGCAGCTGAGTCCAAAATGTAAAGTTTCTTATCTAAATAGTTGTTTAAACAGGGCATTTTTTAACCAAGACCCCATTGTAATTGGTGCATTCACCTTATTCCTGTGTTGCAGTGTCCAAGTGTCGAATCATCTTTTGAATTTCAAGCAAGTCATGTTTAATTTGTTCTCTTGTACAACAAAAATAATCCTTAGAATTGTTTTCTCAACTACATGATGTAGAAAATAATTGTGCAGAAAGGCACACAGAATCTGATATTTTGGCATCAAAAGGAGCTCATGAGGCAAAAAAAGAACAATTCCACCTTTACTCTGCTCAGATTATGAAAAACTTTTCTCTAAAAAGAAGTGCAAAATCAACCTGTTTTTTCAATTAAGAATTTGAGTAATTTTATTTTGAAAATTAACTTACTGTTTGTGAATATAAATAGCTGAATTTGTTAAAGAGATAGGAGAATTTACAAAAATTTTAATATCAATTTTTTCTAGAAATGTTGGAAAAATGCGTGTTCCAAGGCATTTTCCAAGATTTTTTTTTTCGATTTTAAGTGTGCCCAAGCCGAATCGTTCACATGTCGGGGTCCCAGCACTTTATGAGCTCAAATATGAAATATTTTGAAAATCAAGGGGACCAGCCTATTTTAGTATAGGTATTCTACTTTTTTGGGGGGGGGAGGGTGAGACTCATTTTTTGCTATATTTGAACTGATTTTGTTTCTGATGAGTCCGTTATTTTTTTTTAAACACTTGGTATCCTTAATTTCTGACAAACAATAAGCTACGTTTATTTAGGTGAATGAGCTTGTGTGTGTGTGTGTGATGTGGAGAGAGAGTGAAACGGTTGAGTTTTTTCTCACGCTCGCTTCTTTCTCACTGGCTTGTTGAAGGATCAAGTTCATTGATATAATAAATTTTTCTTTCTTCTTATTTTTTTAATTCTTATCACACCGCTTATTGTTTGCCCTCCTGGCACGATAAAGCGCGAATGTTCCGTCTCGTTCTGGCCTATTTACTTGACTATTGATGTGAGTTTAACTCGGGGTTGAGCTTCGATTCCTGTGTAAACGGAAGTCAGGTCTTTTCAATCGGTGTGAAACACGAGAATTGTCACCTTATATATATATTTTTAACGAGGGATGAATTGATTCAATAAGTACAGAAGAAATTGACCTTTCACTTTGAGGTATGAAGAATGAACATCCCACAGTTACCAAAATGAGATTCAAAAAGATTCGGGACTCTTGAAATTTGATGAAAAGTTTCTTTCCAAAATCTTGGATGACCAAGATGAACTGTTTGTTTTACATGATTTCTCCTCAAAGATTATGTCCAAATTGTTCAATCAACTAAAACTTATCTTGGAGCAGGTTAAACACCGAGCGCTTTAATTTTGTGTTGGTTGACTGAATTATAATGTAATTGTTTCTACTGATATTATCTTTTTGTGCGACTCCACGCGCTATTTTATTTTTTTTTTCAATTCCATTTCTTGGTGTAAAAATTCTGGGGAATTGAAAGTAATTTTTTTTTAATTTTCGAGAAAGAATATCCTGTATAATTTCAAGTGCGTTGTTTCAAAAATCGCGTATAAAATATCCAGTGATGCGCTGCTTCCGCATTATTTTTGCATATTCCTCTGAGGCTCGGCTTCTTCCGTGAAGAGAATATATATATTGCATATTTTCTTCCGTGAAGAAATGCAATAAATTTCATCTTTCATTATTTATTAAAAATGAAATTCGTTCCTTCGGTTCGAGTGAAATTGA